AAAAAAATTTATTAAAAATTTGTGATTATTTCACAATTACCAAGTGCTTCTCGGGCACGTGATAAGCAGCAACCAATAATACTTTATTTCATGATTCTTGGTATTTGTTCAATTTTAAATAATAGATTAAAAATAGAAAACTATTACATGCATCTAATTTAATTAATGAATAAATTACACTTTACACCTCTCTATTTTATATTAAATCTCACTTTGATCTCTACACATGAAATTGTGGCAGTCAACTCTTACACTTTTAGTCAATTGTCAATATCTTCCTTTTATTACTCAACTGTATAAATCTCTAATAAAAATAATAATTTAATAAGTACATGACTACGGAGTGTAATTTACCCTTAATTAATAGATTAAAAATAGAAAATTACTAATTTCAAGAAAATTTAATATAATATTAAATATGCATTAATAATTTAAAATTAGACCGTTATTAAAATCAAGAAAAATTAATACTATCCTATTTAAAAAAATAGGATAGTAAAATCAAGAAAAATCAAGAAAGTATTTATTAGGGTGCCTATTGTGCCTATTGTCCTGATAAAAATCAAGAAAAATCAAGAAAAATTAGGGTGCCTATTGTGTCTATTGTCCTGATAAAAAATAAAGAAAAAAAAAATTAGGGTGCCTATTGTATATGTCAAGCACTACTGGCACTGTTGTGCTGATGGTGAGACTCATTCCGATTCTTATTTTAATGATTGAAAGTATTTATTTTTTAGACTATATCGTGTACAATATATTTATAAAAAATAAAATAAGTGGTTAACGATAACCCTTAAATTGAAACATATTTATATTCAATATTATATTCAAAATAACATTGACTATTCATTTTTATCAATACAAATGTGTTTTGATAAAAGAGTTACTCTTGTCAGATCAACTTGATTATTTATAGATGTGTTTTTCAAGGTATACACTAAAAAATAAACAGTTCGAATTATCAATATAAGACTCAGAGTGAGCCTCAAAGCATGCACAACAGCACTCGCATGCTTGATGCACAATAGGCACCCCAATTCCCTATTTAACACATAGGTAATGTTAGGAATACCAAATTTTTTACCAAACAAATGACGAAATATCTCACATGAGTGTGGATTTTCACATGATTGTGGGGTCAATAGGAGACATTTAGTTATTTATTTGGTAAAAAATTTGAAACCTATAATATTTTTCTTAACCACATCTTATCAAATACCCCAGAGACATTTATTAGCATTAACCATAATAATCAATGGGCATTGCTAATCAAATACCCTAAAGACATTTATTAGCATTAACCATAATAATAATGGGCATTGCTAGACATCGGCTTCTTATACTAGTATATATATTTGAACTACACACATTTCCATTCCCATTTTCATTCCCATTCCCATGTGTATTGAGGTCTCAAAATCATTCTTGTGACAGAATTCTATTGTCTTTCAGGTATTTGTTTATGATTTATGGCATTATATTTTTTCCTAGTTAATAATTTGTTAATTTTAATTAGAAATTTCTATTACTTCCTTCAAATGTAAAGATGTTATAGTTTGAATTCCAAATTAGAGAGTGAAAAATTAAATAAATGTTAGTCAAGCAAAGCTGCATTTCACAACATCTCTCCCTACAAGTATATTTTTTAACAGAAAACGGTGTTAATTCATGCTTAATAGTTGTAAAATTAGTATATTTAAATCCATTTTTACTAAACTCAAAAGAATAAAAAATAAAAAATTATTGTATTTTCCTTCAATTACTTACAAATAATCACTTGCATTTTTTTTTTATATGACAATCATTACTTGAAACAAATTATGCCTTGATTTTTGTATGTGCATTTGTAAATTTACTCAATATTTCCTGTTTAATTTGTCTGTTCATTTTCATTGTTATTTGGTTAACTTTGGTTTAGCAGTTTGACATGTCTTTTTTAATCTCTTCCTAATAGAATAATATTGCTAACCATTATGCTCTATTTTTGGTTGATTAAAATGAATTGTAATTCCATAGTCTTTCATATGGAATGACTATTTATTTAAAATTGTGAAAGGTAATTCTATTTATAATTCCATAGTCTTTCATATGGAATGACTATTTATTTAAAATTGTGAAAGGTAATTCTATTTATAATTCCATAGTCTTTCATATGGAATGACTATTTATTTAAAATTGTGAAAGGTAATTCTATTTATAATTCCATAGTCTTTCATATGGAATGACTATTTATTTAAAATTGTGAAAGGTAATTCTATTTATAATTCCATAGTCTTTCATATGGAATGACTATTTATTTAAAATTGTGAAAGGTAATTCTATTTATAATTCCATAGTCTTTCATATGGAATGACTATTTATTTAAAATTGTGAAAGGTAATTCTATTTATAATTCCATAGTCTTTCATATGGAATGACTATTTATTTAAAATTGTGAAAGGTAATTCTATTTATAATTCCATAGTCTTTCATATGGAATGACTATTTATTTAAAATTGTGAAAGGTAATTCTATTTATAATTCCATAGTCTTTCATATGGAATGACTATTTATTTAAAATTGTGAAAGGTAATTCTATTTATAATTCCATAGTCTTTCATATGGAATGACTATTTATTTAAAATTGTGAAAGGTAATTCTATTTATAATTCCATAGTCTTTCATATGGAATGACTATTTATTTAAAATTGTGAAAGGTAATTCTATTTATAATTCCATAGTCTTTCATATGGAATGACTATTTATTTAAAATTGTGAAAGGTAATTCTATTTATAATTCCATAGTCTTTCATATGGAATGACTATTTATTTAAAATTGTGAAAGGTAATTCTATTTATAATTCCATAGTCTTTCATATGGAATGACTATTTATTTAAAATTGTGAAAGGTAATTCTATTTATAATTCCATAGTCTTTCATATGGAATGACTATTTATTTAAAATTGTGAAAGGTAATTCTATTTATAATTCCATAGTCTTTCATATGGAATGACTATTTATTTAAAATTGTGTTACAAATCTAATAATATAAAGCCCAACTCCCTTACCAAATCATTATAGATGAATTATTTAGTAAAAAAATTTATTAAAAATTTGTGATTATTTCACAATTACCAAGTGCTTCTCGGGCACGTGATAAGCAGCAACCAATAATACTTTATTTCATGATTCTTGGTATTTCTTCAATTTTAAATAATAGATTAAAAATACAAAACTATTACATGCATCTAATTTAATTAATGAATAAATTACACTTT